AAGAATTATGCATATCATTTCTTCAAAGTTATCACTTAAGGAAGCAATATCCTTCTTCAAACAATGCTGCAAATCCTCCAAATAATTTTTAATGCCCTTGGAGCCAGTTTTAGAAGCCCTGCAAAACATCTCAGTACTTGATGTCATGTCCTGTATTTTAAAATCATTATATTTTATATTGATCATACATTACTGTCTCAGTGGAGAACAGAGATGCTTTGCAAATGGATAAAAATGATATAAAGAGATTAAAATTTTTGAATATCAGTTTCTTAATCTCTGAAAGAATAGAGTGAATATCCTCATCCTTTTCTGGACATTTTATGATAAATTATATTTACCAACAGGTCTCTACATAAAACCTAGTATTTTGGAAGTCTTGGGTAAAAGAGAATTTTCATGTCGTGGCTTCTCCTTGAAGTGTTTTTAAATTGAAAATTAAATTGGTAGAGTGGCTAAAAAGTTACTTTTTCTTCTTCCACTAGATTACAGATCTCCTTGATGTTGTTCTAGACAGTTTCATCAAAACCAGTGCAACAGGCGGCTTGGGATCAATAAAAGCAGAGGTGATGGCGGATACTGCTGTGGCTCTGGCTTCTGGAAACGTGAAGCTGGTTTCGAGCAAGGTAGCCCCTTTTCCTTTGTCTTCTGGGCCATGGCACAATATATCTGTTTGCATCAGGAGGTCTTGTGTGTTTGTAACTAGTTGTTTTCAAGTTAAACTGAAAGTTTTCTTGTGATGAAACCTTTTGTTGTTAGCCCCATGTTTTCTCACTTCTGCTTCTTTACAGGTTATTGGAAGGATGTGCAAAATAATTGACAAGACATGCTTATCGCCAACTCCTACCTTAGAACAGCATCTCATGTGGGACGATATTGCCATTCTAGCGCGCTACATGCTGATGCTGTCCTTCAACAACTCCCTCGATGTGGCCGCTCATCTCCCCTACCTCTTCCACGTCGTCACTTTCTTGGTGGCCACGGGGCCACTCTCCCTTAGAGCTTCCACACACGGACTGGTCATCAACATCATTCACTCTCTGTGTACTTGTTCACAGCTCCATTTTAGTGGTAAGTGCCAGGAAGGTCATCTGTGTTACACCAGCTCCTTCCTCCGTTTTGCAGCACCTGATTGATGTGGATTATCTTATTGTTTATGATAGTACCGTAACACCAACCTGCCGATTTAAGCTGCTAAGGCAAAAAGAATAAATGGCTTCCGTGCCAAATCAAGCCGTAGCAAAGATTTTCTGTGCATATTTGTCATGTAGACTCTTGCAGTTATCACACAAGCTAAAGACTCAGCACCAATTGACAGTGCTGCATTACTGGCACGAGTTTGTTGATGAAACGGCGCTGAAGCAACAAGCCTTAAAATAATGTATCTAGAGGATTAGTTGAAGGAGCGTGGTTATGTAATTGGGATATGATATCCAAATTTTCTCAATTCAAAATGAAACGTGACACTTTGGAATTTAAAAAGTAATGTCTTTGAAGTTGTTTCTTGTTCCTTTTTCTTTTTGCAGAAGAGACCAAGCAAGTCTTGAGACTTAGTTTGACAGAGTTCTCATTACCCAAATTTTACTTGCTGTTTGGCATCAGCAAAGTGAAGTCCGCTGCCGTCATTGCCTTCCGCTCCAGTTACCGGGACAGGTCATTCTCTCCCGGCTCCTATGAGAGGGAGACCTTCGCTTTGACATCCCTGGAGACGGTCACAGAGGCTTTGCTGGAGATCATGGAGGTATATAAGCCAAGATGAGAAGGAACTAAGGTCTTTGTTTTAATCCACTTGTACTATATAGAAGAAATAAATACTGTTTTATTTTGCTGTTCTGCACTTAGTGCTTAAATAAAATCCCTTCCATGGAATATGTTTATTCATAACATATACATGGGGTACATTATTTATTTAATGATATCACAATAAACATTATTTCGATGTTTCTAAAAACACTCAGGTATGTAAATATATTCAGAGTATCCTTTTTTTAGGCATGTATGAGAGATATTCCAACATGCAAGTGGCTGGACCAGTGGACGGAACTAGCTCAAAGGTATGTCCCAAATGAAACTGAAGTTGTAAAAGTATCTGTATTGTTGCAAAGATAGATAATACTGTATAATCTATATTTTAATTAATTGCTTATCTTACATAAACATAAAGGTTTTCATAAGCTCTTTGGATCTTCTAATTGCAGATTTGCATTCCAATATAATCCATCCCTGCAACCAAGAGCTCTGGTTGTTTTTGGCTGTATTAGCAAACGAGTATCTCATGGGCAGATAAAGCAGATTATCCGTATTCTTAGCAAGGTACCTCCCCTTTTCTCTTCTCCAATATTTGTGGTTCCCAAGTTGTAAAGCGTATCTTGCATTTTTCTAAAGGACATTAAATTTGAATTTAATAAGATATTTCATATGTTGCTTATTTTTAAACCTTAAAAAAAATGGGTTTTGATTATTTTCTTAATTGTAATTCTTTGAAATGAAGAAACATTTTCCAAAAAAGATGTCTTAAGAAGAAAACTAAGTATTGTCTCTTTTGCTGAGAAGGTACTCTTAATATTTTCTCAGTTTTCAAGACTTTATATGGTAAAACTACGGTCTTATATAAAATTATATAATTTGTACTAATTATAATTATATTAGACTATAATATAGAAATATTAAAAAATAAAAACCCAAGTATGCATTGAGCTAGCTACCAAGATCACCATAGCATTGGAACTAATTCTATCACTTATTAAATAAGAAACTGTTCCTGAGCGGGTTCTGAGATTCAGCTTAGGAGTTAATGTTTTATTTCAATAAAAGTAAAATAAAGAATTCTGTTTCCCTAACAGGCACTTGAGAGTTGTTTAAAAGGACCTGATACTTACAACAGTCAAGTTCTGATAGAAGCTACAGTAATAGCCCTAACCAAATTACAGCCACTTCTTAATAAGGTAATTACTGTATTGAATGCATTCGTTTTGGGTACTGGTGTTAAATGTTATTGTGTTTTCTTTCAAAGGGTTCAGAAAATAAGGTGGATTGGGAAGAAGTTATAAAGAAAAAGCTATAGTGAAAATAGTACTTCTTGCCTTGAAATTTAGTTATTTGAAATATTTACATTAGAGGAGAAATAAGTATGGAGAGTATGTTCCCAAATGCTTATTTTTTGTCTCAGCAGTGTTGAAGGAAAGATAGGTATATATTCTTAATTCTTTTATCCCATAAGTATTAATTGAACATCTGCTATGTGCCAAGGACTGTTTTGGGTGCTAGAGATATAGTACTGAGCCAAGCCAATAACGCTCCCTGCCCTCGTGGAGCTTACATTCTGGGGTGAGTGTGGGAGGGAGTGTGGCTAGATAATGAACCAAATAAGTAAATAAATAGTATGCTAGTTTGTGATCATTATTGGAGAAATGTAAAGCTGGGTTAAGTATACCTGATCATCAAAAGAGCTTGGGTGCTAAGTGAAGATATTTAAAAGGGATAAAATGATGCGGCCACTGTTTTAAGATGGTCTAAGCTCATCTCAGCTTTGTGACCTCAAGCAGGTCATTAACACATCTGGCCATCATATTTCCATGTTGATAAAATGAGTAAACTAAATGAGATAATGGCATGTTATTATCTTTCAACTCTTATTAAAGTTTTAGAATTCTATGAATTGAGTACTGAGATATGCCATACTTGAGAGATAACAGAGAAATAAATAGATGTTCTTGGTATTCAGTTATATGTTCTATAGACATTCTAATCCTAAATTGTATAAAATGGTTCTCTCATCTTCATCTTATAAGTAAAAATGAGGCTCAAAAGGGCTAAGTAACTTGCCCAAAGTCACGTACCTAATGAAAGAAAGAACTGTGATTCTAATCCAAGGCTGTCCATGTATTTTCCCGTATACCACACTGCTAAATAAGGGTTCCCAAAAGTAAATCTCTTTAAGTCAGAGCAGCAAGAGGTTTTTACACTGGTAAGGGTGACAAGAAAGCTGCAAGGGTAGAGTCTGAACTAAAGTTAAAGTGATAGGTAGGTTTGGTGTCGAGAAAGGAAGTGCGGCAGTAGGGTTATACAAGAATGCTGGTCCAATGGAGGCATGGTGGGCAGACCATTCTAGTTGTTATGGACAAACTAACTGTTCAGGAGAATAGTGAGAGGGAAGGTTATAGAGATTGGATAGAGTTAATCTAACATTCAACATTCTTCAGAAAAGAGTTCAGAAATGTACCCATAGGTTTTCAAGCAGACAGGTTATATGACAAAAGCAGGACTTAGAAGGGGCATTTCCGGCAGTACTGTGCAGAGTAGATAGGAGTAGAGAGAAACTGGAGGCAAAACTGGAATCCACATTTAGAATAAAGAAGGTTGGCGTGGAATAGTGTCATTGGCCATAAGCAGATGCAAAAGAGACTAGTTTGGAAGAAGCAACCAAATTTGGTGACTAGATTTTGGAATCCAAGTACGGGAAGAAATCAGAGATGCTTAGGTTCTCAGCCTAGCTAGCAGTGTCTAGTTACATACATGGAATAGATGAAGAGCTTACCCATAAACTTCCCTTTCCCCAGAGAGAAAACATGCGTGATTTGGGGGATAACATGCGTTGTATTAGACTGCAGTGTGTTTTGATGAGGCTTTTGGGGTTCATCTTCCTAACCTGGACTGTCTCCTTGGCCAGGACTCCCCTTTGCACAAAGCCCTCTTTTGGGTGGCGGTGGCTGTGCTGCAGCTCGATGAAGTCAGCTTGTATTCAGCAGGCACCGCCCTCCTGGAACAAAACCTGCACACCTTAGACAGCCTCCGGGTATTCAACGACAAGGTGAGCAGGCTTGCAGCCGGGGTTCCTAGAGTATTTAACTCCCCCCTTTTTTGTTGTTGTCCTTTTAAAATCAGAAGAAGTCCCTAACTTAATGTGAATTTCTGTAATGAAACTTACTGTGAGTATAGTTCCTTAACAGCTCATAAAAAATATTTAAACTTGACTGCATACTTTCTGTATAAAAATAGCAGGAAAAAGTACTCACCCAACACTGTAAACAGTATAGGAAAAATAATATTGAGCAGTAATAACAGCTACCATGCCAGGCCCTGTGCTAAACACTGTACAGTCATTATTTGTAATTTTTATAACCCTAAGGTAGAGGTTAGCATTCTCTACCATTTCACATATGAAAAAATCATTTAAAAATCAGCTTATTTTTATTGAGAAATGGCACCTAATGAAAAAAAATAGGTATAATTAGAAGCTAAGGATGAGGAGGTTAAAGAGTCTAAAGGAAACCTTTGGGTGCTTAAGTGTGCTAGGTTTTTGTTTTGCCTAATCCCACTTTAAAACATACCATTAGCATCCCTCAGCATTTACCTTCCTTGATTGAGGTTGGATTTGGGTTCACAGAGTATAGAGGAGGGAATATAACAGTGGAAATTATGTTCCTTTTATCTTTGGGAAAAAAATGGGAAGAGGAGAAAAAAAAATTTTTTTTGTAGATGGGTATGTGTATATAACAAGAGTTGCTTGAAGTGAAATTAACAGAGCTATGGATACAAAGAAACAGAGGCGAGGAGCATGGTTTTACACGAGAAGATACCTGGTCTAAACATGATTTGTGCAGTCAACCAGATACAGACAGTGTAGACCTCTAGAACAGCTGCAGCTCTGGGAAATGTGGAAACAACATTTTAGAGGTAGAAGTAACCTTGAAATTTATCAGTCAGACCCGCATTTTACAAAACAGAAAAGAACAAAGGAGTTAAGTAACTTGTCCACGTCGGTGCATCTGATTTGAGACTAGAGCCCCTCTTTCCTAATCCCCATTGCTCTTTGCTGGGGTTATCTTGGGACAAAGGTGGTCAGAGTGCTAGCTAGCTATTAGCTATTTATAGATTAGAACATTTGCAAATGAAGTGTTTGTCTCTTAGGAATATCTGCCTTGGCAATTTCCTTGCTGGAACAGCCAAGTAGCGGGAGCAAATATTGACTCCAGTGCCCTAGGAGACTAGGCATCAGAGTTAATAACGCTTGTTAAGAGCCACCTGGATATAAGATGCATAAGGTCTGAGGAGCTAATGTATAACATGGTGACAAGAGTTGGTAACACTGTTGTACAATTGAAATTTGCTTAGAGAGAGTAGAACTTAAATGTTCTCGCGGAAAAGAGGGGGTGGTGAATATGTGAGATGATGAATGTGTTCATTAACTTGGGGGACATTCTTTCACAATGTATACATGCATCAAATCACATTGTACACTTTAAATATCTTACAGTTTTATTTGTCATGTATGCCTCAATAAAGCTGAAAAACTGTATTATAAATTGTACATACATAGGTTAATAGGGATTTATACTTTATATAATATTTCACAACTTACTTTTTTATTTAACAATATAGAATATCAGTCTAAGCGCGCGCACACACACACACACATACATCTTTCTCATGGCCAGAGTACTTTACAGGATGCATGAACCACACAGTTTATTCAACCATTTGCCCATTAATGAACACTTGGTTTCTTTCTGTCGTTCCTTCTTTTCTATTATAAACAATGGTGCTCTAAACATCTCTCTACATATAATTATGTACTCATACTTTTGTTTCTTTGAGATAGAAATCTAGACAGGACTAAGCATGACCTTAAACATCTTCAGTTGTTTGCTTTCAGAAATCTTTATGCAGGTATGTCAACTATACTTTAATTAAAAAGAGCTTCACGGGCCAGCTGAGTGGCGCAATGGTTAAGAACTGGCTTGGGACGCCAGAGGGCCCCAGTTCGGATCCCACATATGAGGGCCGGTGACACTGCCCTCCACAAAA